AGTCAAGCAAAACAACTTCATTCATTGGCCATGTCCAAAAAATATGTCTCAATTTGTACCTTGAGTTCATCACTTCTCTGTCAGAAGGTGACTTAGGGCTTTTTTTTTCCCCAATTGAAAAAGATATTACACTAGAAAATATAAGATACATGATTGTCATAACATATCATTACATATCATTTTGCACTGTATATTCTCATTTGTCTTAATATTGCTTTTTCCAGTAGATTATAAGCCTCATGTTTTGAATAGTAATTGAACCTATATGGTGGGCATTTGATACACACTTATTGATCGAGTACTGTGGGCCTCAGCTACCTAACCTACAAAATGAGTTGAACCCACTTAATGGTTTCATTCTGTCAATGAATCAGTATTTGGTCATGTATTTTCTTTTTAAAAAATGTTGTATTTGTTGTTTGTGCAACAAACACTTCCCAACAAACATCCAAACAAATCCCTTTCAAAGCACATTCCTCTAAAACAGTTAAAGAAAACCAACTAATTATATGATTTAATTGTGCATTTTATCAATCATTGGATGCTAATTGTATAATTACTGTTACCTAAGTGTTTAGAAAATCTTGTCATTTTTAAAAAAAAGTTTTTTTAAGGCAATTGGGGTTAAGTGACTTGCTCAGGGTCACACAGCTAGTAAGTGTTAAGTGTTTGGTTTGAGGTTGGATTGGAACTCAGGCCCTCCTAACTTCAGGGCCAGTGCTGTATCCACTGTGCCACCTAGCTGCCCTGAAAATCTTGTCATCTTAAAAAGGGGTTCTCAAAAAGAAAAAAAAGAGCTCTCATACTTAAAAAGGTTATGGAACCCTCAACTATATGATCTCTTAGACGGCTTCTATTTTTAAAATTTAAGATCAATTATTGATTAAAATACTGTGAACAAATTCCCAACAATAAAGCCTAGCAAAAAAAGTGTTAGGCATCTATTTGATAAATTAAAAATAAATTTATTATATGTTATAGGGAATAACTTCACATTAGCTAGCCTAGGATGAAATAAAATAGTTTAATAGGCTTCTAATGCTTGGGTTTACTTTTTCTTCAATACTATGAAATTGCTAGCTGTTCAAATTTTTAATACTTTTGGAATTGCTCCAAAGGTATGATTCATAACTATTTATTTACTGCTTTGATAAAAAATTTCTAAAAAGAACTGACATAAGATATCAATGCAATCCATGAGGCTCATTGCTACAAACCTCAGGAAAATAGATATATGTCTCATATGGCTCTCTAGAGAAATTGCTATGTATAATTAATTCATTCTAATATCTCTCATATATGAAGGGGGAGAGTATAAGAAAATTAGTCGTTTACAATAACTCACTGGGCTACAGTTGCTAGTCACTATATTTCCAAGGGCTCGTGAATAATTAATTATCCAGTGATTGGACTTTTCAATTTTCTATTTTTGGGTTAGAGTTCAATATACTATACCTTAATGAATACGATATTGCAAACCCTGAAGAAAATAACGTAAGCAATGGAACTCTCTTACTATCTAGATCAACAATCATTATTTTGCAACTTCAACACCTCACAGTAGAGGACCTCACTTCATTCTTGAGGCCATCCATCCAGAGCTCTTTCTTCTCCCCAGTTCTACACTTCAAACCACTTAATATCAGTTACCATTTTCTACTCCTTTGGTCTAGTCTCAGAGGAAGAGATGGCCCTTCTTGCCAATACCAACTCTCTATCTATGCCATTCATCTCATATCCTTAGAACTTGCCCCCTTGATTATTCTTTTTCTCTCCCTAATTTTCAGTCTTTATGCGCTGGCTCCTTCTGTACAACTTAAAAGCATGTCTAGGACTTACTCATTTTAGTACAGCATACCCTGTGGGAATACCTCCTCCGTTCATCAACTTGGCACTCAAAGCTTATGTGAGATAATAGGGACAGCTATTCCAAACTGAAAGTATTCTATATGTAAACATTCCTAAAACTATTGCTTATGAGCCTCCACCCACTGTAATCATCTTTAATAGTCAACCAACTGACACAATTAACTCAAAGCAAAGGTATTTAGTGAAATGGCATAGCATGAACAGTAGTAACAAAGCATTCCCCCTATAAACCTGGAATACACTGTCCTACAAATTCACACAGTGTTAGTGAGGAGAGTGGGCATGCATATGGTGTACATAAGTAGAGAGACAGACACTTAGGGAACACACGTGGTCAGTTCACATCTCCAGAACAACAGGGATATTATGTCTTTGGTGTCTTTTCTCACGGGATCCTTTTACTGCTCCTCTATGGTTTCTGCTAGGCGGGCCAAGAATCTGGGTTCTCTGGTTCTATTTCTCTCTACAGCCCAACTCAATTCCACATTAGGATGTCTGGGTCTGTTCACTGTTGGACACAGCAACTTTTACTGGGAGAGTTGTTCTGTTGCCAAACACTATCGCTTCTTCCCACTCTTCTCCATTGCTAAAGGTTACACTCCTTAAAGCTATTGTTGGCTTCAACTGACCCCTAGAGAGTGTTTTTGTCTGTATAACTGGCTGGTTTCTTTTTTTTTTAAAGACCACCCATCAATTCCATCTAATTGAGGGAGGGACTTAATTCAAAGAGACAACACAACGTAAAAACTTCTTTATGCTTCCTTTATAAGCTGTGAGCACAACACTTCTAGTTTATAAAGAGTTTCCTGATTACCCTTTACATGGTGCAAATAAGCTACTTTAACACCTCATTGTCTCTTCCAGTTGCCTCCTACATTCTGAAATCTCGAAGTGAGTTAGAGTGACTCTTGAGCCTACTATTTCCCGAAGCTCTCTTCCTATATTTTTCCTCCCTTTCACGGCCGAGCTCCTAGAAAAAACTATCCAAATTTGTTGCCATCATTTTTTCACCTCCCATTTACTTTCAGTCTCTCTTCTAACCTCAGCACTCAACTAAAACTAAAACTCTTTTGAGCCTCAGTTTCCTCATCTGTAAAATAGGAGGTACATTGAATATGTACTTCACAGTTTTTCTGATATCAAAAGAAATAAGTTTATATCTGCAATATATATGTAAATCACTTTGTTAAAGTGCTTATAAAGTGCTATAGAATGTTAGCTGATTATTATCTGTACATCCAGCTGTATTTCCAGTCTTACATCATCAACTGTCTATTGGACATTTCCAACCAGATGTCCTATAGCCATCTCAAACTACAAATATTCAAAATAGAACTCAGTTATCTTTCACGTAAAATCAACCCCTCTTCCTAACTTCTCTATATCTGTCAAGGGTCAACCATCCTTCTAGATGCCCATGTTCACACTCAGAGTCATTTTCAATTGCTCCGTCTCCACCCCATACAACCAATTAATTTACCAAGTCTCCCCCATTTTACCTCAACATTTCTCCTCCTGTCACCTTCTCTCCAATCATACCACAACCAGCTTAGCTCAGGCCTTTATTACCTCCCGCCTGGAAGGCAATAACCTGCTAATTGATTTCCCAGCCTCAAAGTCTCTCCTCTCCTTCCTCTCTGCCAAGCTCCTAAAGCACAAGTCTTGACTATGTTACTTCCCTGCCCAAGAAACATCAGTGCTTTCCTTTTATCTCTAGAACAAATACAAACTACTCTTGACTCTCCAGAATTATTATACGTTTCTCCCCTTTCATATACTATGTGCTGGCCAAACTGTACTTCTTGCTGTTCCATACCAAAGATATTCTGTTTCCAGTGTCTGGGATGTACTCTCAACTCCACTTTGCTTCTCAGAATTCCTAGTTTCCTTCAAAGCTCAGTTTAAACATTACCTCCCACAACCTTTCCTGATCACCCCCCAGTTGTTGGCACCTTCCCTGAGCATTAGAAGCCTATTAAACTATTTTATTTCATCCTAGGCCAGATAATGTGAAGTTATTCCCTATAACATATAATAAATTTATTTTTAATTTATCAAATAGATGCCTAACACTTTTTTTTTTGCTAGCCTTTATTGTTGGGAAATTGTTCACAATATTTTAATCAATAATTGATCTTAAATTTTAAAAACAGTGAATGGTGAAATTTGTGAGTACACATATTGATCTTCTCTTAATCAATAAAGTCCTCTTAAGTATGGGCTTAGTTTACCTCATGAGGACATTGGGTTTGTGAATGCTACTGCTCTGAATGGTTCTATCAAGCTGGAAAGGAATGGTGCTCTCTGTGGTCTGAAAATCAGTCTCGAGTTGGTTGAAGAAGCCCATCACGAGTTTCTTATCAATGTCATTAATTCTTCAGTCACAGATTGCTGGTCTGGGGTGTCAGTAGGTCAACCTGCATTTATTAAGCATTTATAATGGGGGGCCCCTAGGTGACTCGGTGGATAGAGCACAGGGCCTGGAGTCAGGAAGAAGAGAGTTCAAATGAGACCTCAGCCACATAGTAGCTGTGTGACTCTGGGCAAGTCACTTAACCTCTGTTTGCCTTAATCCACTGGAGGAGGAAATAGCAAACCACTCCAGTAACTTTGCCAAAAAACCCCATGGACGGTATGGTCCGGGATCTCGAAGAGTCCACTGAATGATAAGCATCTAGAATGTGCCAAACACAGTGAAAATCCCTGAGGAAACAAGGAAGGGCAAAAATAGTCCCTGTCCTCAAGGAGATCCCATAACAAATGAAGATATTTAAATAAATAGGAATATACAAGATAGAGCAGGTGGAAGTAGTGGAGTAGTCAGAAGATATGGGATCAAATTCTGCTTTTGACATTTATTTGCTGGGTATCCCTGGGCTAGTCACATCATTACTTTTTTTATATGGCCAATTCAGAAATCTGTTCTCTAAAGGTCTTAAACAGTCATAAATCTCTCATTCTCTTCGGCTCAGAGCCACCGGAAATGAAGTCACTGAAAGAAGGAGGGGCGGCTCTTGCGGGAGGACGTGAATGAGGCACCGCCCAATGGCCGCCTTTCCACATTTGGCGCCAAATCGCGAGGCTGGGGGCGGGGCCAAGGTGGGCATACTTGCTTCTCTGCGCCTGTGCGTGGCAAGCTCTCGCGAGAGGAAGTTAGGCGCGGGACGCGCGGTATCCTGGGTTCCATAGCCGGTCACGGTCCAGCACAGCTTCGGTGAGAGGTGGATGGGATACGGTGAGGGCTGCCGGGAGCCATAGCGGAACGAGGGGGATCTCGGGAGATGTGGGGTCTGGGCCTGCAGCGGGCGCCTCCGAGGGAGCTGGGGGCGGCGAGGGCCGCGGCTCAGCGCCTAGTTGTGGTTCCGCCGCGGCTGGGCCTTCGCGGAAGCAGGGTTGAAGGTGGCGGCGTGCTGGGTGACCCGTTCTCCCTGCCTTGGTTTCCCTCACAGCCTGGCATCTATGAAGGAGTAGAATGTTAATGGACACCCCCTCCACCCCCCGCCCTGCCCAAAGTCTTGGAGGGGCCGCTGGGAGCATAGAGTTTTATTGCCATAAAAACATTGGCAGGCAAATTACTGCTAGGTAACCCCTTTCTGGTGTCCCTACGAAGGCCCAGGGAGGGAAAGTAACTTGACCTAGATCGTACGAGTAGGAAGCGCAATTAAGTGATTGCTGACATTTCTAGGCCCAGACCACCCTCCCTTCTCTGTTTTTTCTTTATTTCTACCATTGTAAACTTTAAAGTGCTACATAAAGGAATAATCATTATTTTGTGTCATTTCTGAGAGGCAGTATAGAGTGAGTGATTACAGATCTGGAAGCCAAGAATATGAGTTATAGAACGGACTCTCACATAGGCTGTGTGACCCTGGACAAGTCACATGACTTTTAAGTGCTCTATCAACTTCCTAAGGCAATGAGTTTTAGAGAAAGTGCCTACCTGCGTTAGTAGAGGGAGTTTCTTCACTTGGAAGTCGCCTATAACTAATGAAATCACAGGTCTCATCCCTCTTACTGTCATCTTTTGTATGCATCTTTCCCCTGTTTATAAGGTAGTCCAAGGCAAGAACTGACTTGTTTTTTATTTAATCCTATCTTCTGCACCTTGGATGTAATAGATTGTCTTTGTTGAAACGTTTTTAAAAATTTAATTTTTTCAATAAACAATCCCCCCTTCTCTCTGACTCACTTCCCTTCTTTCTCTTCCCTTCTGTCTTTTCTCCAGAAAAAAAAGAAAAAAAATCCTTTTTACAAACATGTAATCAAACAAAATGGATTTCTGAATTGGCCATATTTAAAAAAAAAAAACCTGTGACTAGCCTGGTGATACCCAGTAAATAAATATCAGAAACAGAATTTGATCCCAGGTCTTCTGACTTAACAAGTCTAGCATTTTTATACTACTTCTACACTTGAATCATAAAACATGGTTATCCTGATAAGGACTAGGGAGAGGATAGGTTTCAGATGAAAAATTTCAATGTAGGAAGAAGTGTTTTAATATGTTTAATTATCTTTACTTCCCTCTCTCCCTTTTCCTAGCAGGAACAATGGAATCAGAGGAGAACAATTTGCTGGATCTTCCTGATTATGAGGCGGTAGAAGATGAAACTTTCCAACCATTTCCACCACCAGCCTCTCCAGGAAGGGATGATGCTGGAGAAAATGAGCCCACCACAGGTTAGAAAGGAGTGGTTCCAAAAAATACCTAAGTAGTCATTATCATGTAAATAAATATTGTTTGGAAATTATATCACTATCAATAATGCTTACTCGAGAATAAACTGTTATTTGGTGACATCGCAGTCAAAACTAGACTCCCAACAAAGCTAGAGAAAACTGCAGTGTAATAAAGTGGATGTTTTTATTTTTTAGGGAAAGTATATCCAAACTTTAACAGATTAGTAGAGTGGATATGAGTGAAACTATCCACATGGCAGTTCTTATTTTAAGATGTTAACTTGTGGTAAATACCACATTCCACATTTTAATTACAGAAATAATTTTAAATGTCCTTATCTTCATTCAGATACAAGGAAGGATCAGATGGGAGATATGCCTGTAGCTACAAAGAAAACTGTAAAAAGGAATTTGCCTAAATTAGATGCTCAGAGGTATTTTCTAACTTTCTTTTGATTATGTTAAACTTTGTGTTTGTTAGGGTGGTTTTGGATACATTGTTTCATTTTGCTGATCAAATTTTAACTTGCCTAGAAGAGGTTTTTGATTAAGAAATAACTTTCCATGTTTACCATGCAAGTATACTTTTTAATTTAATGATATTCACAGTACATATTTATGATTTCACAGGTTAATTTCAGAAAGAGGACTTCCAGCATTAAGGCATGTGTTTGATAAGGTAAAATTCAAAGGTAAAGGCCATGAGGTAAGAAACAACTAATTTTGGTACACTTGCCTTTATTATTTTATCATCATCATTATTATTATTATTATCATTATTAATAACATCTTGAATTCAAATAGCATCATTTTCCTGTTTTTATTATTGTTCAGTTGTGTCCAATTTTTCGTGACCCATGGGCCATAACATGCCAGTTATTTTCCTAAGAAGCCCAGAAAGCTTTACAGACTTTCCATAGCAATTTGATTTAGTTAGGAAGGTGGTTATAGTCTTTGTTTTATAGATTGAGAGATAGGTTAAGTTACTTAAGATTATATAGTTAGCCATTGTTAGAACTTGATTTCTTGACTTTTGGCTTCAAGGTTAGTCCAAAGTTATAAAACATCATTAAATGGAAAATGAAACACTTCATGATGAACCCTACAAATTAATTATAACTGCTATTCATTATTAATAAGTCAATATGACAGTGTTAGTTTTTTTCAGCAAGTCTTTTATATCAGTTCATATTCAAGCATGAAGAAACTAGGAAGGTTTGAGTAGGAAGAAGTCCTAATCCCTTAATGAAAACACAGAATACAGATATGGAAAGGGCCTAGGAAGATGAATTAGACCTTTTTTGTATCATGGACCCTTTTGGCATGCTGGTGAAGCCTATTAACTCAATATCGTTTTTAAATGCATAAAACAGAATTACAGAGGAAGTAAAATATATTGACATACAGTTATTAAAATATTTTTTAAAGTTCATGGATCTGACCTCCCCCCCCCCGGGTTAAGAGTGTCTTAATTAGACTGTAGCCAGAGCACCCTTATTCTGGCAGTCTTTGCAGTGGAAGTACTCTTGCCAAAGTTTCTTGACTCTTCCTTTTAAGAATTTTGATTTTTTTTTTCTCCTTCAAAGTCTTTGAGTCTTGCTTGAATGCTTCCTGAGCCTTGTATGAATAGTTATTGCTAAGAGTTCCATTGACATAAACATTTATGTAATCATATATACCTGTATGGTTTTAATGTGATCGATGTGTAACTGCTGTAGCATTTGGAATAAATTGTATTTGGGGATTTTCCCTGACCTATATAAAACTATATCCAAAGCATTTTTAAGCTAATCAATTCAAATTTTTTTTTTGAAAATGCTTATTAGAATATTTATCTGAAATAATTCAGTATTTTTCCTTTATGTGAATAAATATTCTAGGCTGTTTTAGATTTAGTAATTCTTTACTGACTAGTTTCCTTTTAAAAGTTTCTCAACTCTGAAAATACTAAATGACACCAGTGTCTTTGGCAACACTCCTTATTCTGAAATTTGCTGATGTAGTCAAATGTTTGGATGAAACTTCTATTTAGCAATTTTATTTTTATGTTCTAGGCTGAAGATTTGAAGACATTAATCAGACACATGGAGCATTGGGCACACAGGCTATTCCCTAAACTGCAATTTGAGGATTTTATTGGTAGAGTAGAACATTTGGGAAATAAGAAGGAAGTTCAGGTGAGTATTAACTATGATATAGGTATCTTTCTCAATCCCATATAGTACAAGCATATCCTTAATGGAAAGAGGGAATGATATTTTATGAGTGCCTTTTTAAATTAAAATGTTTGGAAATGATTTAAGAAGGCACCTGTAATTACTGTGCTTGTGAGTACTTTGGAACAGTTTTAAGAACTTCAAGGATTCTTCCACAAATTGTAATCCCCTGTATGCCTTTTATGAATTTTTATGCCCAAAACTTCACTTAACTGATATTCAGTGCTCTGAGAAGCCTCTCCAAAATTAACTAGGGTGACCCTCATATAATAGACTTTCCATATAGTCTTTTCCTGGGTCCAGAGTCCTGTGAGAATTTATATTCTACTGATATAACCTTCAAGAACTAGAACAACCTTCATACAAATAAGAAGCATCATAGAACTTTAGTAGAACCCTATAAAAACAATTGTTTTAAAACTTTTTTTTTAAGCACAGCAGAGCTACTGTTGTTATTCTGTATTCTGAATTGGCTAAACCTGGTAGGGAAGAAAAGAATCCATAATGTTAATATAGAATAATAATAGAAATAAAATGTTATCTCTTGAAACTTAGAGTAGAATGAATGATGTTCAACTTTAAGTAGTTGTTGTTTTTCCACTACACTGACATTTTTGGTGACTGTGTTGAAGTGTAAAAATGTACTGTCTTCTTACTTTCAGACCTGCTTAAAACGAATTCGACTTGATCTTCCTATTATACATGAGGATTTTATTAGTAATGATGGTGAGTATTTGTTGTAGTTACAGTTGAGGGGTAAGTTTTTATATACCCATTTTGTTTTTAGAATATGTTCTAATGGATTGGGGCTCTTTTTTTTTTTAAAGCAAATAATGGACATATCTTTAAAGCAAAAAATGACAGTCTAACAAATAAGGAGTCAAGTTAAAGTATCCTTGTAAATTCAAATTACTACTAATCCAGAATTGGTGAACTAGCTCAGTAAGATGCTTATATAAAGTCTGTTGTGTCCTTCCTTGAGTTGGAGTACCATTTTGCAGAAGATATTAAAAGTCCTTAAGAGACTTTAGTTGATGTAGACACTGTTTATCTTTGGTTAACTCATGATTTAGCCAAGATAAGGAAGTGAGTAAAAGGATGATAAGTCAAGATAAGAAGTATTGATGTCCACATCCTAGTGACTGAATCTTGAAAAGGTGCTTCTTGGAAGATCAAGTAGAATAAGCTGATGATGAAATAGTTTGCCTTTTACTCAGTTTAGAATTGAGCATAAGATCATGACAGGGGACTTGAGGACATCTGATTCAGCCTATTTTTTATGGAAGAAGAAATTGAAGCCCAGGAAGGCTAAATGACTTTCCCTAGGTCATTCTGGTGGCAGGGCTGCAACAAGACCAAAGTGACTGCACTTGGTATTGGTTACATTTGTTAGTCACTTAGTGTAACCACACAGTCAGTCACGTATATCAACATGAGTGGTTCCTGCCGACAGGGTCTGTCTAGTGATCAGATTTCCTGTGCGATGGTTCTGCACATCTCTCTCTTTTCAACATATTTGTGTTGAAACATAGTGGAAAACATGGGCTCACTACAGAATTCCCCAGGGTCACTTGTAAGTTGAATTTAAGGTCAATGAGAATAATTTAATACAATACCAAAACTGGATTTCTTGCCAAGATAGGTGGCATATAGTGGGATTTCATATGTGTTGTTTTTTGTCCTTTGTTCTTGAAGAGGACCATGACATCAGGAAGGTGATGCCATGACTTGCAAGTGAATTGGATTTAAGTGAGAGAGGGCTGTGCAAAGTCACCAGCCTCACTCTGTCCTCCAGAGCCATCTGGGTATAGATCAGGACAACTGGAGATGGCCCTGATGAAGTGGGAGACATTGGCTTTTTTTAAGCTAAGGTCTTTTCCTAGGTCTCAGTTTGACTGAGACAACACCCATTCAGTGATTAAGGCTAGGTAAGAAATGAAGCAAAGAATGGCCTCTTTAACCTAATTTAAAAAAAAAAAACATCTGGGAGGGGAAGAACCTCAGGGTTTCTGGCCAAAACAGAAACAATTGCTATATACATTCACTGTGAGCCATCTGAGCCCAAACAATGACCCACTGGGGCTTGGGCTGGGACCTGTTGTTGGTCAATCAATGAGAGTCAGAGTGATTTGGATTTAAGGCATAGTCCTTAAGAATGAAATATAGCCCATAAATCCCAAGATATCTTGCTTAAACCCCAAGAGATCTCGAGGTTTCAGCCATCAAAATTTACATTCCTTTGGCCAGAACACCCACAGGTAAGGGTAAGGGTGTGATACTGGATGTGGACCAAGGCAAAGGAAGGGGAGGAGAGGAATGGATTTCATATATGTAAGGATGGAGTAGTTACTGAACTACTAAAAGGAACTCTTAATAAAGCGAACCAGGACTCTAGAATTTAAACTAAGACTTTTTGCTCATTTTTTTTATCCTTTACCTTATGACTTCAGGGTAGCTATTTGACTTTAAAGTCTTTTAAAAATGCTTTTTTGGTTGGTAAATAATCCCAATTAACATTCCTCCACTAAAGAAAAGACCTCTGATGCCTCATTTTGGTGTGAAGATAACCTTGTATTTTTAAAAAAAATACTTTTTTATTTTTATTTTTTAATTAAGCTTTTAAAAATTAATCTGTTATACCTATTACCTCCTCCTCCTCAAGCATGTCTGAAGATTTACATCTTTGTTCATTTTAAGTTCAAAACCTCTGTGTCAAGAGATAACTATTGTGTTTCATCTTTTTTTGGACTCATGGTTTATCATTGCAATGATCAGAATTCTAAAGGCTTTCAAATTTGTTTTTCTCCATAATGTTATTATAAAAACAATTCTCCGTTTCTGCTCATTTCACTCAGCCTCAGTTTGTTTCTTCTGAAATTGTGTTTTATCAGTCTTATGAGACAAAAATACCACTACATTTATGTACCCCAATTTATTTAGCCATTACCAAATAAGAGGATACTTCTTTAGTTTCCAGTTTTTTGCTATTCTGAAAAGAGAATATATTTGTTCATATGAATCGAGGTGGTATAGGCCTACTAATGGAGTACTAAAGAGTATATACAGTTTGGTAATTTTCTTTGCATAGTTCCAAATTGTTTTCCATAATAGCTGGACAGTTCATAGTTCTATCAAAATGCTACCTGTTTTAAGGGGCAGTTAGGTGGTGCAGTGGATAGAGCACTGGCCCTGAAGTCAGGAGGACCTGAGTTCAAATCCAGTCTCAGACCAAACACTTGACACTTACTAGCTGTGTGACCCTGGGCAAGTCACTTAACCCCAATTGCCTAGATATTAAAAAAAAATGCTACCTGTTTTCCTGTCACTTTTCCAACATTTAATTTGTATTTCTCTGATTATCTGTGATTTAGAGCATTTTTTCATATGCTTGTTAATAGCTTAGATTTCTTCCTTTGAAAAAAACTGCTTGTTTATTTCCTTTGACCATTTATCTATTGGGGAATGAATGGTTCTTAATAAGTTCAAATCAGTTCCTTATACATCTTGGATATTAGACCTTTATCAGAGAAAGCTGCAAAAGTTTTTTTCCCAGTTTTCCTTCTAATTTTTACTACATTAGATTTGTTTCTGTAAAACCTTTAAAGTTTTATGTACTTAAAATTGTCCATTTCATCTTGTGATCTCTGTCACTTGTTTAATTATAAATTCTTCTATCCAAATTCTGAAAGGTAGCTTCATCCTTGCTCCTTTAATTTGTTTATGATGTTACCTTTTATATGTAGGCCATCATATCCATTTGGATCTTATTTTGGTGTATGATGTGAAGTGTTGGTCTAAATTTAATTTCTGTCCAATTGCTATCCAGTTTTCCCAGAAATTTTTGTCATATACTGAGTCCTTTCCTCAGTAAACCAAGTCTCTGGTTTATCAAGTCTTATGCTTTTGTGTTTATTTTCTTCCATATGTTGTATACCTAATCTGTATATACTCATTGATGTTTCTTTTTAAAGCAGTACTGAAATGTTTTAATGATTACTACTTTGTATTGCAGTTTGAGATTTATAGATCCTGTTCCTTCCCTCTTGTTTTCATTACCACTCTTGAGATTCTTGACCTGACCTTGTGTTTGTGAAAGCTGACAGTCTGTCTTAGAAGAGGGAAGGACAACTGAAATTTCTGGCTGACCACTTGGAAAGTTGCAAAGGCTTTGAGTGATAGTCTAATGACCAACTGCATGTCTTTATGACTTGTCTGAGAACTCACTTGGCTTAGTCTCATGGTAATGAATTTTTTGGATACCATAGCTCAGAGTCAAAGAGAAGTTTTGATCTGAGTAAATGGAGAGAGTAGCTATGCCAGTGAAATTATAGAACCTTCAAGTCTATGATATTAGCAGTCTGAAATGTGTTAGGAATGCATTGTATTCTGATCAGAAGAATTACTGTTTTTAGTCAACTTTTAAACTAGCTTTCACTCAGGGACTCTTTGTTCTTTAATAAATCGTGTATGCTATTAGTATACTTGTATTGATTTATTTTTGTTTTTTTAATTTAGGTGATAAAGCAGAAGGTAATGGACTAGATTCAACTCCCACAGACTTTGATTCCTTGTTTGCAAATCCAGTTGATAGAGAAATATTTGCTTCTCAGTCAAGCACAAATTTAACAGAGGAACAACGGCAAAGAATTGAGAAGAACAAACAACTAGCCTTGGAAAGGAGACAGGCAAAACTGTTAAATAACAGTCAGTCCCAAGAAAATGGTAAATTATACATTTTGTTATATGTGCTGCCACTAACGTACCAAGGATATGTTAGAAATTTTTAACCTAAGTTCTTTCTGTGCCCCCAAAATAATAAATCTAAGAAAAGGTGATAAAGGTTCAATTTTAAAAGAAAGCAAAACCTTGACTAGTTGGAACTCTTGGAAGCTTCACAATTTTAGGGCTCAAGGGAGTGGATTTATACCATTTTTACCTAAGAGCTTTTTAAAATTTTGGCCATTTTGGATGGAAATCTTTGAAAAATTTTGTTCATTCAACATCCATTTATCAAGTACCTATGAACCAAGAGCAATACTAGATGTTAGGGATCCAAAGACAAAAATGAAACAGCCTTAAAGATAAGATATTGTACTCATAATAATTTAGCTTTTTCTTGGTCACTTGGCCATCCTCATGAATGGCAGTTATTGTACTGAATACTGCAGTGATGCCTTCAGAATGTAATGAGGGTCTGTAGGTCTGTTTGTCTTTCCTGTAAGGTCCCAGATTGTTGTGCTGTTTAAACTCTGGAATCTGATTTTAATAAGTTTTTTTTTGGTTGCCTTTGTTTGTTGGCACTGTTTTTCCATTAATGTTGGCAGCTGTCAGCATGTGACCAGAAACTGTTTTCCAGCTTTCCTTTTCCTCTGTTAAATAAGTTTGTTAGAATTTTGTATAAATTAAGTGAGTATGAATGAAAAGCTTATGAAATTCTCACTCTGTAGTATAAATTTAATACAGAGACTTTGACACCTTTTTTCACTGCTTAGATGCCCTTTTTGGCTTGCTTCTTGTCTGTGTTTTGTTTTGTTTTTTCTTTTAAGTGAGAAAGTATGATTTGGATCACAGATCTAAAGTTGGAAGAGACTATACAGGGGTCCAGAATGACACCCAAGCTCAGAAAGGCTGATAAATCTGAAGTCACACATGTAAAGTTGTAGAGCTGAGATTCAAGCCCAGGTCTAACTCTAAATTCAGAGCTATTTCTATGGTTCCATGGTTAATGCAAGCAGTGAAAATATCAGTGTCATGGCAGTATGACAAATACAGGTGTTCCTTCAGACACTTGAACACAACATGATTTTTCATTTGGTAGAATCATGAAGTACCTCCAGGCTCTTTTTCGATTAATGATCAACTTATATGTCATTAAAATTTTTTTTACACTGGTTGAATATATTGAAAGTGATTTTTAGGGAAAGGATAGAGCCAATATATGGGGGCTTCTTTGTTCCCATCTCCCCTCCCCCAACCCCTGATCTTCTGTCTATTCTCAAACAGCAAAGTGATGGGAGATAATTATTCATTATTCCATCCTAGCAGACAGTTGAGTATGTGAGTGCACGCACATGCGCGCATGCACACACACCTCTTATAATATTTCCAACTTGAAGAGACTTCCTTATCTACATAACTACCTTATTAACCTATAATCAAATACATGTAACAATTGGTGCTATCATTGTCTAGTGATTCAAAATGAAGCTCTTTATTCAGATTTTGAATATAGCCTCTGAATGGAATCTTACAGGTCATTCAGTTCAACACCCTCTACAGCTTTAGCCTATTCTTGAAGACCGCACTACTTCTTTCTACTTTTGTACAAGTCTAAAAGGACTGAGAAATCCAAAGGGACTTTTGTACTTATTTAGGTAGAACTATGTTCACATTAATAAAATATTTTGTTCTTAGTGATAATTGTTAGATTTTGTATGTATTTATAAAATAAGACAAGTTAAAATAATAGTGGATAATGACACTTTTTTCCCCCCAGATTTGTCAGTTATCCTGCCCAGGACACAGGCATCTGAGAATAGTCCAAATGAAGCTCAAGAAGAGAACTTAAATGAATTAAATGAAGAAAATCTAGAAATCTCAGACGGTGTTGCCAGTACTGCAAATATAGATGATGACTTAGAAAACACAGGAGTAGATGAAGCCATTTAAAACATGCAACAATGACTAGCCAACAAAGCTTTTATTTAAGAGTACTTAAGTGCCAACAGTGGGTTGCCTCATTCAGAAATATGTATTAGCCTCAGTTAAGACTAAAAAAAAAATCTTATTATTAATAGCTTAGTAGAGATTTATTGTATATTTTTTTCATAGTAGGTGAAAATAAGTGGCTAACTTTATTAGTTTTTTAAAGATCTGGCCCACTTGTTTATATTTGTCCCATTTATTTATTATATTAGCCTAAGTTGTCATAGCTTCCATAGACTCTTCTACTTGTCTTTTTATACAAACAGATCTTTTGACAATTAGGTAACTTCTGCTGCTAGTATACAGTTTAAGAGTCCTGTTTTAATAAAAAGTGCTTAATATTTTAAGATATAAAAATGATTGTACACTAATGTCTATTTTTTTGTAAAATGTGAATAAAAGCTCTTTTATACAAGAGGGTGACATTTTAATGAATATAATAATAGAAACCATTCTTTACATTAGTTTGTATATATTGGTGATTTTCTTATACTTTTGAAATTTAATGAGATTCTCAACATAGAGGTTAAGTTGTGTTGGCATTTATATGTACATCATACAAACACATGAGACAATACTCCTTGACATCCAAGCTTCAGATTTGTCTTTAGAGATTATATAGTAATATTATCAGTGAATTAATCATGATGGTTTATCTGATAATTTGTACTTAAAATTCTTTGATATACAGTGACCTTCATTTCTGCTCTTTAGCCACCCATAAACACAGCCACATTTTCAGCTGAAAAGTGTATCTCCACAATTTAGAGTTCTCAAATTTTACTCCAGTTAAAATCTTACTAGATCACTAATTTTTAAAATGCTCCTGTAGTCTCTTAGTCCTTCAATCTGTTTCTGTCTTCGTTTCCCTAAGCACCTAATCCCTCCCCCATCATCAGCCATTTCAGTCTTTTTGTTATGATCTCAGGCCCTAAGTCTCTTGTAGTATCTGCTGTGTTAACCTCCAATTCTGGGTAAACTCTGCTTCCTCAGCATTTCTTAGCCAAGAAACTGTTCTTAGTACTTTCTGACTTATGAGGGGAATAACCATTTCATTTTCATATATTGATGGGGCACATTCATTTGGCAGTTTTTCCCTTGAGGCCCTCGGTCATTCCATCCTAATGTGAATTCTAATACAGGAAAAGGGAAAGCAGCACAGGATGGCCTATTGCTCAGAATAAGTGAGAGGTTGGTAGAAATAATACATACCTTAAGAATCAATCTCCTGTGATACCTCTTGTCATTCCTGTCCAAATGAGCCTTGACTTCATTGTTCTAGGAAGCTCTACCATCAGTTCTGCAGTTTATAATCTTGAGAGTTGCTTGAGGCTGAAAAGTTAAGTGACTTGCTCAGGTCAACCTAGTCAAGAGTGTTTACATTTAGGACTTGAACCCAGTTCCTTTTTTTTTTTTGGCGAAGCAATCAGGGTTGAGAGACTTGTCCAGAGTCACACAGCTAGTGTCAAGTGTCTGAGACCACATTTGAACTCGGGTCCTCCTGACTCCAAGGTCCAAGCTGTATTCACTGCCCTACCTAGCTACCCCTTGAACTCACTTCCAGACTATCTATCCACTACATCACCAACTAGTTGCCTGTCAGGTTTTGGGTACATATGCAAAACATAGTGGTTCTTTTGAAGGACGTTATCTCAAGAGTGGTTTTTTGTCCTCTGGGTTTTCCTCTCCTTCCTCTTGGACACTAAGGATGAGACTAAACCCTGGAATGTGTGGATATGTGTGTATTGAGAGTCTGGTATAGGGGACAGTGCTGGATTTGGAATCGAGGACCTGGCTATGGATGAATTCTAGTTCTGTCATTTATTACCTACTTTGTGATAAGTCAAAATCTCTGAGCCTTAGTTCCTCTCTGATAAAATAAGGCTCAGATTGTTTTTCAGTTGTGTCCAATTCTTTGTAAGCCTATTTGGGGTTTTCTTGGCAAAGACACTAGAGTGGTTTACCATTTTCTTCTCATCATTTTATAGATGAGGAAACTGGAAAAAGGGTTAAGTGCCTTGCCCAGAGTTACACAGCTAGTAAGTATCTGAAGTCAGTTTTGAACTTAGGTTTGTCCTGACTCCAGGTCTGGTGCTTTATCCACTGTACCACCTAGCTGTCCCTCTTAAAAATCCCTTCTAGGAATTTAAGAGTATGTGATCCTGTGAATTTGTTAAATTTTGATTAAATGTTTAGTAAGGTATAAACCGAGTTGAAATTATTCCCAGATGGGGGTTTGATCCAATGCAGAGACATTTTATATTCAAAAATATCTTCCATTTTAAATAGTTTGTGAATCCAAAGTTAAGTTATAGATAAGTTATTTGTGAATATCCCTCTACTATAAACTCCCAAGAGAGCAGGGATTGATTGCATCTAATGTTTTTCTGTGTCCTCCAGTGTCTTGAGCTTAATATCTGTTGAAACAACAAATGTGTCAGCCCCCAACCTACATGCAATACCTGATACTTACATGAGCTAATGTCCCCACATCTTGTTTGTAGATTCTGACCCCCATTTGGCTAGAATGTTAAGAACTGATCATTCTTGTACAAAAGATAAGATTTTGTTCTTTATCCTAAGAAAATATTTATAAAAGAATTATAAAAATAATGAAAGAGATGGATAGTGATTCAGAACAAAGCAAATTGACATTGATAGTTTCTGAAAACTTGGTTGATAATCAGGCTTTTAGAGCTACCATTGTCTGTGTGTTCCTTGTTTTTACAAAAGATGCATTTATACTGAATGCAAATTCAAGTGACTAATAAAAATAACTTATTTGTATATGCAAAGAGTATTTAAGAGGTAGCTCTGAGTCAGGAAGACCTGAATTCTTGTACTAATTCTGACTCATATGGGCTGTATGACCCAAAGGAAATGATTCAAGGGATTCTTTACTGGGGTCCATGAACTTGTTTAAAAAAAAATCAACAGATATAGATAGGTGGATGGAGATAATTATTTCAATATAATTGATTTCTTCTGTGATCCCCTATATATTTTTACTTAAAAACCTTATACTGAAAAGGAATTCATGCGTTTTACTAGATTGCCACAGGTGTCTATGACACAGAAAGATTAAATTCCAATTTAAATGCTGTTTCCCAGGCTACTCTATAAATAATAGAACAGGTGCCTCATGGTGAGTTCTCTCTGTCAATGAAACTGTTCAGTCCAAAAGCAAAACTACAATGTTTATCTAGTCCTAACTAGAATAATCAATGACACCATCTATATAAAATAATTTATATATTTCAAGAAAAGCATAAAAAAATTCATGAGGCGAAACTCCTTAGATGGAATAACGAAGTATATTTTACATTGCATAACTGGAGGACAAGTCCAGCAGAGCTAAGTCCCTTATTTCCTCTAGAAGTGTGTACAAGCTAGTTCCTTTTGTTTGGCAATATTCCTGATATTCTTCCTGAATGATTTTGACTTTGGCTTCTTCTTGGGCAAGCTGAGCTTCTTCAACAGACCTGGTTACTTCTTTCACTAGCTCATTTTTCATTAAAAGGTAATTCTGTTGAGAAAGTTCCATCTCTGTTATCTTGTATGGTTTGTTGCTGATGATTTCAAGCCTGATTGTGTCAGCATGGCAACGAGAGGCCTGCACAGACATCCTTACCTATCAAAGAGAAGAAAGGGCCGCGTTATATCATTGCCTTCTGTGCTCTTTCCATTACACACCTGATATGGAGCTGGACTTACTGTAATATGATCAAACAAGCTAAATGTAATTGATTCTCCTCCTGCTGTGGTAGAAATGATTTTGTTTTGAAATCGCTGAAGTGTTCCAGGTTTCCATTCAGAACATCCATCCTGATAGCATGAGATAACCAAGCCATCCTTATTCTTCAGGTAGGCTGCACCTTTAATCCCAAACCTTGGATTACAGACAGAGAACACAAATTCAGAGGTGCCATATTGTAATCAGGCAAGCCTTCAGATCAAGGAGCTTATCTAAAATGGTGTTAAACACAAATTGAAATGGGGGCCACTAAATCTTATAGAAGGACCCCTATGAGCTGCATAATGACTTAGAAAACCACACATTAATATTATATATATTCTACTGTATTTTTATTTTCGTATCAGAATTCACTTTTTTTTTTTTTTGCTTTTTGGTGAAGCAATCAGGGTTAAGTAACTTGCCCAGGATCACACAGTGATCAAGTATCCAAGGGCAGATTTGAACTCAAATCTTCCTGACTCCAGGGCCGATGCTCTCTCCACTGCACCACCTAGCTGCCCCTAGTATCCATTTTAATATAAATTTTGAATCTTAACATTCAATACTGATTTCATTTTAATCTGGTCCAGGCCATACTTGGGAGCCACATGCGGTCCATGGGCCTCACTGGATACTTCTGATCTAAAATCCTTTATTTTAAAAGAGTATCTTTTGTGACTGTAGGGCTATCATGGAATAGTGTAAAGAATTCTGATAAGTCCAGTAAAAATGGATCTGAATCCTGGTTTTTGCCACTTTCTGTCTGACCTTGGCAGAAGTATGCAGGTATAGGCTCTCTGGGAAAAAAAGTGTAAGTACATGACATTTTTAAGCTTGATCTGCATTATTAACATTTCTTCCCTTTACCCCATCCTGCCACCCCCACTTTGCTTAAGCCTAGACAATAACAAAATGTAAATCAAGCTCTGATTTGTAGTGTTTGCTGATATCTAAGGTGTAAATGCTCACACTGAAAATGTAATAACCAGCTCTGGTATGAGTGAGCTCCAGCATACCCATGGACTTTAGGGAAATCACAACCTCAGCAAATCTATACTTTCCTTATCTATAAAATGGGGATAACAACACTGGTACTATGAGCTGGAAGGGGCCATAAAGACTATCTAACCCCAACCCCCATTTTGTAAATTAGGAAACTAATACCCTGAAAAATAAAGTGACACCCCACATCACACAGGTAGCAGAAACCAGGTCAGCTACTCTAAAGTAAGTTTTCTTCCCCCCACTTAATCTACTCTGTCTTTCTATTGTAAGGATCAAAAGAGACAAAGTATATAGTGTTTATAAATGGCAAAATGCCATATGAAGAACTATTTTTCATATACAGTTTATCATAATATGAACTATAATTAAAATTTACAAGTATTTTTCCCAGTAGAATAAGATGGAAAACACTGCTTTACCTTCCTCCTCCCCAAAAATATTCTGCTTTGTGAGCAAATTAAATGGAGTCAAAGCCTGAAATAAATTTAGGAGTACTGAATACTGATCCTCTAGGCTTTATTTTAAATAAAATTCTGTATTAATATTTTGGTGGCTATAACTTACCTTGGTATAAATACAAGCACACCATTTGTTCTAACTGAATAAATAACACCATCTG